TTTCTTTTATGCCAAAAATCATTAGGATATTAAGTAAAGATCATGTTCCATGAAGATATTTTGTAAATTTCCTACCGTAAATATATCAAAACTTATTTTTTGATTAGTAATATGCATTGCTAAGAACTTCATCTGAGCAACTTTAAAGATGATTTTCTCAATATTTAGATTTTTTTGCACCCTCAGATTCCAGATTTTCAAATAGTTGTATCTCGGCCAAATATTGTACTATCCTAACAAACCATACATCAATGGAAAGCGTATTTATGCAGCTTTCAGAAGATGTATAAATCTCAATTTTAAAAATATGACCCTTATGACTGGTTTTGTTCTCCAGGGTCACATATGTATATATATATATATATATATCACATAAAAATATCTGTAGTTTGATCTATAGCGAGTACGTTTTAATTCACAATAATCTGGTATATAAAATCAGATTATGTCATGTAAATACAGTTTATTTTACCCAAATACTAGTTATTAACCCAATTTCAAGGGTAAATGCCATACATTTTTGACATATTTAGACTGTGAAATGTATTCAGATAAGTAATCAGCACATAACTGAAGACCAAAAATGAAGTTTATAAATTGTGAATTTATATTTCTGCATATGGAACTTGGCATAAAATCATGTTAAAGCATGATGTAGGTGGGGAAGATCATTCATATATTTTCATAAGTAAGGACTTGTCTCTGCATTGAAAGGATCAGAGAACAAATAAAAAACATTCAAATACAACTGTAAATATGTTGTATGATAATTAACAGACATGTAGCATCATCTGTTAAAATGGACTATTACAACATTTAAAATGCTTACTGTAAAAAGTTTAATGTAACAATTAGATGAGCCAAGGATAGTTAATTACCATGTATTTATATGATTTCAGTATTTATTCATGGTCATTAAAGGTATCAACTGACATAAGGATAAATCTTGCTATAATCTGGCCTTTTAAAGTTTATTAATTGGGGAAATTTCCTCACTGGCACATCCATAGTGTACAACATATATTACAATAAACTCAAGCATTATTCAAATAAAAAGTCAGGAATGTACAAAATTACAATACAACTTTATGTAACAAATGTCAAAAATGCAGTTTAAAATAAACAATCTACATTTATATTTAATATTCTGCCTTATATTTCAATGTAATTGTGCTTTATCAGCTAGATGTTCATTTCCAGCTCTTCTGGTGAACGGCAGAGTTTCATACCAAATTGGGTGGACATCTAGTGTTTAAGTATCACCATAGTAACCAATCCTAGCAACCATTTATAGCTCCCTAGCAACATAAAGAAGCCATATCTCAGCAGCAGAACATTGTATTGATTTAGAAATTGGCTTTCCTGCAGTGTCATACTGTACATTACTGTAGCTACTGTCAATATAATCGAGTTTAGCCACGCAAGAAGTACTCACATTTTCTTCAGACAGTTACATCGCTAATTTTGAAGACATCTGCCTTCACTCCTCAATGAGTGTCTCTATGGTCTCTACTAGCTGATCTCCATGAGGGAAGAGAATGATGGACCAAACAACAAAAGTGTGCGGTCCAAGACTAGATAAATAAACACTTTAAACCATCTGTGTGTCAAAGAATCCAGAAGCATCAACTACAGACACTTTCCTGACTTTGTTTCTGTTGCTGTTTTCTCTCCTCGTCCTCTTTTGGTCTCCTCTCTTCTTCTCTGAGTATCTTCAAACATCTGATTACTGTAATGTTCTCCTCCATTCTGCTCTATCATTGTGTCAATCCTCTGCATTAGAACATTCACCTGCTCTCTGTTATTCTCATCTTCATTGTTGAAGACGTGAAATCTGCCTCCACACTGATCAACTACATCTCTTATTCTACTGTTCCTCTCAATGATGTTCTTTATGGACTTTCCTTTTAACTGATCTCCATGAGTGAAGAGAATGATGGAATATTTTAACACTCCCTTACCAAACATCATCTCAATGATCTGAGGAATCTGCTGCGCCTCCTCTATGAATATGCTATCTGCTCTCAGCACAACGAGAAAAGTGTGTGGTCCAGGACTGGACAAATAAACACATCTTGCTATCTCATTCTTTAACTGCTCAGAGCTAATGTGTGTGTGAAAAAATGGAGGAGTATCAATTACAGACACTTTCCTGTCTGAAACAGTGGTGTGATTCACTGAACATTCATCGGTTACTGTAACCTCACCCATCTCAGATCTGAAGACTTTCTGTCCAAGAATTGTGTTTCCAGCGGCACTTTTGCCAACACCAGTTTTACCCAGCAGCACAAGTCGTCTATCTGAAACTGTATGACAAAAGAAAACAGATCACACATAACTTGTTTTACTTCAACATACTGTAGTAATTACTATACTAATAAAGTAGTTACAGTAACATACAGCAAATACCAATTCTGTATCCAGATGAACCAGACAGCATCACTGCTGCTAAAACTCACAAACTGTTTTGTTTTGTTACATTTTTACAAATTTGCATATGTTTAAGCCACTCTTTTTATTAAAGTCAACACATATTTTGAATTTTTTTTTTTTGAATCTTTTACTGCTAATCTTCCTTGAGAAATCTGCAGATACTGGAAGAGAATGAATTAAATATTTCCTGTTAAGCCTAATTTGTAATACAATTTGCAGTGAATGTTCACATTAGCCATTATTGTCCTCAGTTCCACAGAATAATAACCAGCCACTGCCAGTGGAGGACTTTTATTCTTTTATTCTGGAACTGAGGAAGAACTGATGATGGCATGGTTTGATCTTTGGTTGACCAATCAGTGGAAAGTGGCGTTTCATTCCTGCACACAAGTAGAAATTGAATATTCAAACTGTTTACCCATTTTTTTTAATTCCTGAATATCTTTGGCCATATTCCAAATTTAGGAAATAATTTTAATGCAGCCAGAGATAAACATGAGTGATTAGTTCATGACCAGTCCGTATTAGACAGAGACAGATTCACATCTTCACATCTTTTATCCTTTTCTTTTAGTTTATCATTTAACCTGGGTTTACTTTTATTTATAACTAGCTTTCTGTTGTTGTAGTCTTGCTTTTCTTCAGTTATTTCTTTTAACTTTGTCTAGTTCGTTCTCTTCGATTTAGAGGTTTAGTTTTCAGTAAGTCAAGTTTTAGTTTATTGCTCTGTCTTGTACTTTTTGCAGTTTGAGTGTTTTGTCTTGTTCTTGTTGTGACTTGTTTTTTTCCCCGTTGTGTGTGTGATTTGTTGGAGTCCTGTCCTGTCCTGCTCCACCTGAGACTCCACTGACAGCTGGTTCCCTGGCTTGTTGGCTGCTTAATCCTGTGCCCAAGTCTCCATTCTAGGCCAGTTTTCATGGGACTGTATCTGGACTGTTCACCTTTTGCACATTGTTTCTCGTATTGTCAATAAAACACCATTCATTCCTCATCTCCACACTTGGGCCCTATTATTTCCAGAAACTCTTGACAGCTATATTAGACATTTGTTTTTAATAGACACTGTCTAATCTACATGTGAAACATGCTTCATTGTGTGTCTTTTTAACTGAACCCCAAAGTAAAATGAACACTGATCAGTGTGCGAAGAATTTTCATTTATTCACAGTTACAGGTTTTTCATGTTATTTTTAATGAAAATGTTTAAATTCAGTGTATTTTTGTAATTTTATTAAAACTTTCTGTATTTTTGTAATATCTGTAAGTAAATGGTACATTTACTGTAAACGCTTTTTTTTATTATTGTGTGTGTAAGTGCTCATATCTTCTGCAGTCAGACTCACTGTTCTGTTACAAAAACGCGTGCGTACGCCTCTCTTCCAGATGTGACGTTTATAAATCGCAAATGATCTTGAAATTGTGCGCAGCTGACTGGTGTCAGATCTCCGCCTTGTAAACGCCCCCTAATTAATATCATTACCATATAAAAGAGCACACGCCAATATCCGAATTTCTAAATAAGCGCTCAAGCAAACTCATAAAGCTTGCCACAGCGCACCGGCAGAAGCTATGATTATGAATGTGTCAGGGAAAAACAGAAAGGAGGCTGCATTAACATTTGAATAATTCACTGATAAACAAGTGCTTTCTTTGTTTTGGTTTAAGAGATGAACTCTGCGATCCCCACAGTAGTGGATGCGCCTGAATGCATGTTTCACACGGATTACATAATCTGAGAATATTTGTTTTCTATTTGAATTGGTTCATTTGAAAGTAGAC